CCCCCGAGTGCCGACGACGACGCGGATCAGCATGACGTCACCGCCGAGCCAGCCAAGCTTGTGGATTTCAACGACCCGCAGACCTATCAGGACCTCGCGACGCCCATGCCGGAGACCAGACAGGAGAACGCCAACCTCTAATTCAGATCCAGGCTGTAGTATGCACAGCTGCACTATACACAAAAGAACGCATCGCATCGATTGTCTGTCTGTCTGTCTGTCCGTCAGTGGGCACACGCGGCACTTTGATCTCATTCCGTTCAGCACAAACTACGTCCCATTCGCGCAGGCGTATCGGCAGAAGCCTCTAAACGATGTTGCCAACGACGAGGATCGTTTGGTGGAAGCGGAAATGCACTAGCGGCAGAGGGCACTAAGGGACGCTCTGCAGATTTGGTGTGCGGCAGCAACAAGAAGCCGCCAACCATCATGCTGTGTAAAAGATGCGACAGCGGCTTCCATTCATCCGCCATGCGTCCCGGTGGACCACAGGCTGACCGCCGTGCCCGAGGAAAACTGGTGGTGCCCCACATGCACGTAAGAAAATGGATGCCACTCTTCAACGACGACGTGCAACCTTTTTTCCGATTGCACTATGATCAGACCCCATGGCGCTGCCAGCCCCTCGTTCGTCGTCACCCTCGACCCGCCAGGTTGCCTCAGGCGCCCTCCCGATCTGTACTTGGCTGGCGAGCCCTTACACGCGGGGTTGGTGACGTCGCTGTGGGCACAATCAGCGATATCCCGATTAGCCGTCAGGGGCAGCATGGGATGTGTGGATCACTGCCGTTGGACTGTGCGCCTGAAGATCCGTCAGCTGAGGCGTTTGGCCTTCTGACTTGTGTGGAGAAGAGGCGGCGGACGAGGAGTTCGCTGTCGGTGCCCGTCGCGCACAGTGACGTGCCGTTTACTGCCGACGGACCGGTGGAGGAGAAACGGATGAAGAGGATGAGATAGTTCAGCATGCGGGGATACACATATAGCATCGATTAAATATGTTTCTCTCTGTGCACACAAGATACATGCATGTGTCGATCGGATGCGCCATGGAATGGATTTGATGAGCTGGCGTTTTGCATTTGATGAGCTGCCAAGGCAAGGATAAGTAGAGCTCGACGTGTGGATTCAGCCGGGCCACGCCCACCAACTTGAGGTGGGCGGGGCCCGGCTGAGCCTCCATGCATGTCTCATCCTCTTCATAATGCTATTCCCCAGACAGTTTGACTTGAATAGAGAAGCAGTGCGTGTCTGCTTTCGCGGGTCTGTCCATGATGGTAGTGTTATACATAGTGGCGTGTCTTGTGTGTCTGAATAAACAGCTCTCGTGTCTGTTCATGATGTTGTTACTGTACATGCTGACTTGTCTTGTGTCTCGGAATAGACGGCTCTTTTGAAGCTCTTTTGAAGGGCTGTCGACGCTTCATGTATTGCATACCCCTTGAGGTTCCGGTGGCGTGTTCCCGGCGTATGTTGCTTTCCTTCTATTGTTCTTCCCCAAACCCTAGACCTTCGTGCTAGGTCAGATTTCAACGTGGGGTTATGAATTATCAAACCCTATCACCCTAAACCCTGGAGTTCAACACATCCTGACTGAGGGGATATTGAGAGGGATATTGACTGCAACATAGTCTGTCGCCATGAAGGTGGGCACTCCTGAATTAGCACGTGGGCGATGAATTAGCATGTACACGCAGGCACCAGGGCCAAAAAGATGTCCGTTTGGCAGCGCAGATACGCACACGCAGGCAGCCAGAGCACCACGTAGTCATGCAAGAAGAGATCCCAGCATCGGCCGCGCACACATGGATGTTTGCTGTTGAATGGTTGCTATCAGGTGTGGGTGAGGCCACATCAGCAGATCTCTCGGGCAGGTGTGCAGGGAGGAAGGTGGGCACTTAATTGTTGTAAGAGAAAAAGCAGAGCAGGACGGAAAAAGACGTGTGTTTGGCTCTGCAGACATAGACATGCAAACAACAACAGCGAGAGCACGATGCAATCACGTAAGGAGAGGAGAGATCAAAGCATCAGCACAGTTGTGTGGCCTGTTCACATGTAGTAGTCGCGCCCCTTCATACACCAGACGACTGTGTCGCTGCTGGACTCCCTGTTGAATTCGCGGCACCGCGTGCAATGTGCGGCCACCGCTGCCCGGAGGTGTGCTTCTTTCTCATCTTCTGCCTGTGCCAGTGGCAGTGCAGGTGGCAGCCTCACTCTCTGCAGCCTCACTCTCGGGGACAGGTACGGAATCATGTATCGTGCGGACGCATACAGAGCGAACGCAGACACAAAGGACCTCCTGCATCACACATGTGGATATGTGTATGCGGACATCTGTATGTATGTCAGGGATACGTATATGGACGTGATGGTCGCCTGGCTCGGGCGAGCGTGCGGTCAATACACGCGGCTGTATATATGGATGGCTGCACTGTGCTGTAAGTCAACAAGAAACAACCTGAAGATCGGTGTGCCGCCAGGATAGCTGCCCACTCGGACTGGCTCGTCTACCAGCATCTCGCCGCCTCGTGACCGCAGCCCAAAGGAGCCACCGGTCAGCGCCACCTGATGCATCAAAGAGACGTCGATTCACGGTCACGAATACCCTTTTATGCGTCATACTGACCATATGGGCTGAGTGTGAGTTGACGCGCATGCGGCGAGCGATGCACATGGAGTGGCGGCGTCTGCGCTCGGTTTCTGCATGACAGCAGCCAATCTCTCTCTCTCTCTCTCTGTGTGTGTGTCTGTGTGTGTGTGCGTGTGTGTGTGTGTGTGTATAGGCGTACGAAGGAAATCGTCGCAGTCGTTGTGCATGCGCTGCGCAAGGGAATTATCTTCTCTCTCTGTTGTAGCATAGGATAAAAGGACATGTAGGCGTGTTTGTGGTCGAGTACGCACCGACCTTGTGCATGTCGTGTATGCCGTATATGCGTTGACAAGCATGTTCTCAGTGTCCTCTGATCCGATCACGATTTCTTGAAATTGTCGGCCCAAGAAAGTCAGCACATGCACCACATGTGGCCAGACAGCCTAAACCACAGGTAAAGAGAAAAAGACTGCTCATGAAGAGTCGAATCTGTGGGTCCTTGATGCATACCACGTCCACTGCCTGGTGTATCTGGTCGTTGGTGTGTTCACTCACAACGCCGAGGAACGGTGCGATGGCCAGCAGTGGCGGGAGTATCACACACTCAATGGCGCAAAGCACCGACAGAACAGTCGTCGCAAGGATTGTGAACGACTGAATGCGCCGCAACAAAGGGGACAGAGGGGGTTTCAGGAACGCTGCCGACGATGACGGACTGACAGATGGCGAGCGACAGCCACTGTGACTTCCTTCCCTCTGTGTGGACCTCACACACCAGTGCGCGACGTCATGATGTTTGTGGTTGCAGCTCATGTCGCTTTCGCTGTTGAGTTGGCGAGCTTTGTGTGCATTGTTTTGTGTGACCGTTGCCTAACGCTCTGTGATGCTGCCTGGCTTTTCTTTGCTGTTCTTCCTCTCGCCCCTCGCTGCCTCTGCTTGCGCAGTTCTTTGCTGATGAGACTCCTAGATACGTCGCCACGCAACACTCAACTTAGGCTGTGCACGTGAAAGAAATACGTATGCAAGTTTTGGTTTTGTTACTGCGCTGAAAGGCTGTGCCAACGTCATTCTGAATCTCTCCGAGACGTCAACAGGAGAAATCAAACGGAAAGAGCCACGTTGTCGAAAACGTTAACTGTGGGTGTTAACATGAGGGAACACCTCCTCCTCGCTGCCCTTACATTTCTAGGGACTAGTGCTGTGGTAAATACATCAGTTCTTCATCATCCTTTCGTCAACTTTGCCGTCAACCGCTTTGAGAAGAGGACGAGATCAGGCTCGAAGGATTCACATGGAACCGACGCAGCCATGATCCGTGAAGAAGACGTCGAGATGATGCTTCCGCTATACGAAGCGGTAAGGTTCATTCCATCTGGGCGGTAAGGTTCATTCCAACTTGAGTCCCCTCAGGTTGATTCACCCGGAGGTCTTCGATACGCTACGATGGAAGGCATCTCCATTAGTCGCAGTGGTGCTGTCGAGACGACGCAGCGCATTGCGGAACTCAGATACCGTCAGGTAGACAGTCCTGGTCAATTAGCGCTGTCCTTATTTGTCCTTACCAGGTGAACAAAACGGAGCACACGGCCTGGCTCGAGGCAGAAGCAGCCATGCACCGTCGGTTTCGAAATTCCCCTGTTCCGCTCGAACCATCAACAGGACCGATACGCATAGCTCCATCTCTGAGGAGGAAGCTCGATGCGTTCAAAATGGAGAAAGACGGTGTCGCTAATGCCAACGATGACAACCCAAGATTGAGACTAATTGTCTTTGGGGAGACGGACAATAGCATGTTTTTACAGCACAAGGTCAAGGTGGCGATGGGTAGGGGGCTCATCAGGACGCAAGCAGAGTTACAGGCAATACATGCTCGGATTCTGGAGGAAATGTCAAATGAAACGGCTGTGCGGGTGGAGGTGAGGATACTTGGAATTGCAAACTAAATCATTGGCTCCAAAAATCAAGCCAAAGTCTTCGTATTGTTGCTGCAATGCAGTCGATTCAGAAGGGAATCGAGAATGTCGAGGGCCAGATTCTCCACACATTGAACCACTCCCCTGTGGTTGTTGCGAACCTGCCCATCGGTATAGACAGATTGACTTCTTTTCTCCTCGATTCCCTCTCTCTTTGCTTGTTCTTCCCAAGAGAGAATCGAGCAGTTATTGAAAGGCCATCCCGAAATTGGGTACGTTGCCGAGGATGTCCGCAGGGAGCGCATATCTTTTCCGACACGCCAGATGGCACCGCGAATCGGGAGGACGGGAGGCGAGCTAGGAGACGACCAAGCGGCAGACCATCGTCGTCGTCGTCTTAAATGTGATGGACTGGACCGGAATCATATTCACCACTTCGACAAGTTCTATCCGGATTTCAATGGGGCTAGCACATTTTATGGCAAGGTCGAAGGCGTCCCCCTCGGCGTGGCGGAGGTAGGAGAGCAACAAAATAAGCAAGGAAACAGACGTATGTGCTGGATGACTGGTGAATACGCGGTGTACGCAGGCTCCCTCAAGTCACAGAGATAGTGCTGTGGACAACGAGCATGTCGGCTTCCGCTCCAAGGCCAATGGTCCTTTCCGCTTAGCCCCCCCTCTGGGGCGTCTTTATAATTGCATCGACGCCGATTGCAAGGAGGTCGATGACTTCGAAGAGGCTGATGAGTCGGAGCATGCAACGAGCGTCACAGGAATCATCGCCGGCGATACGATGGACGACCAAGCCCTTGATGAGTACAACAGGGATGATTCAGTGGACACTCCCGATTGGAAGAAGGCTCATACTGGTGTGTGTCCCAAATGCCGTATCACGCACTACCGAACGGATGGACTCGACTCGTCGCTCGCTTCGGTTCTCGACGCCACGCTTGCTTGTGATGAGAAGCATGGTCAATGACCAGTCGATGCGAGTACTTTCACACATACCAAGGACTGTTTTTGCTCTTATCAGGACACTGTCCCAACATCATCAATTTCTCGGCGGGCGCCCTGGAAGACGGCTGTGAAGGCACCGGCCTCGGTAGTCGCATTGGCAATTCCTTCTTTACCGCGGGCAAGCTGCTTGTCACCGCGAGCGGGAACTCGAGGCACCAGGTGCCTGTTGACAAGTGCAGTGCCGTGTCGCCTGCCAGCGCTCATGCGGTTCTCACAGTGGGCAGCCTCGGAGAAACCGGTGAGATTGGAGAGGATGGGCCGTGCCAGGGAGCGGAAGTCGCGTAAGCAGAAAGGGACAAGAAGGGCATCCGCTGAGGATACGGCATTTATGAGTTCAGGCATTTCTCATCCCAGGGTGACTTTGAGACGGATCGCACGATTGTTGATGTGGTGGCACAGGTGAATACCGTAATGGCTTCTTTGCTTCGATACTCACGGCTTCTCTACAAGGCGGGGGGACATTTATCTTGTTGCAGGGTGTTTACACCAGCATGCTTGATGCCGAGGGAACATTCACCGCCAAAGGGGTGGGAACGTCCTTTGCTGCACCAGTTGTCACAGGCTTTCTCGGAGTTTTTTCTCATTGGTAAATTCGCTCTAGCATGTCCGGCCTGAATTGTGATTCCTGATGTTTCCCATGGGTGGGTAAGGTACTTGGGATCCGGGATCGGGACCGACGTAAATGATCCCGGTATCCTGATGGTAGCCACGCTTTTGCAAACTGATTTTATGTCAGAACAGGGGAGAATTACGCACGGCTTCGACAGGTACACACAAGTTTCGGTCCAAACCAGGGCTCTCTGTTTGGACCTCAGGTTGTGGGGGGGAGGTGTCTTGAAGGCCCAACGGTTCGATGATGAACACGTTGCTTATCCTGGAGGAGCTGCATTTGGGACGGTCTGCATCGGTGAGGGCGATGAAGTAGACATTGAGGTGGAAGAGGACAATTCAGGGGCCTTCTCGCTCTCGGCAGTCCTTTTCTGGTGGAATGAAAAGTGCACCTGAACCGTATAGTTGTGTGCCGATATGTGTCCCTTCATCCAGGTTTGATCGGCGTGCGGAGAGGGGTCTTCCTTGGGCAAATGTGGATCTTGAATTGAATTCAAAGAACGGGAGGTGTGAATCCAAGGCACTTTTAGACAATAAGGTAAGCGAACGATGAGTAGCGGCGATGAATTGATTACTCCGTTTCGATGTCTCTGCAGGAGCGATGTAGAATGAAAGTGAAGAAGAGGAACAGCTCCATAATCAGAATCCTCGGTGTCAGGATTCCTGGGACGGATGCACACTGTGGGAAACATAAACAGCTTGTCTATTATGCATACTCGTACCAGTCTGACGGCAGTGCCACCAAGGTACAAGAGGGTACAGTGCGTGGGTGATGAAAGGTGTAGACACACTCTGCAAGCACATTCACTTCCCACACCTTCCCCGATGGCATTCTCGCCGCTCTTCCACGAAGAAGCCCGTGGTAGCACCTCGGCATCGACTCACTCACTGACACCAACACCTCACGACACACAACACACACTCAACACCGAAACCAACAGAACGACATCCCCACCCACATACACCCACACATCCAACACACACCGCACCATTCGATACAGGCAGACAAACTCGTGGCTGACCGAGCATCACACGCAAAGCTTCGGGCAGGTTAACGCCGGTGCCACGGTCGTCTCGTCACGTGAAAGCGACACGAGCGCCGGCTTCTCGGCTGTCGCCCTTATCACCCCCGCAAAGTGGTCAAGGGAGGCATTGATGCCCTCCTGGCTGAGGCTGCACGGGTTGGGACGGGTGGGCTGCGCGGCCAGCAGACGCCGAGTGTGGCGCTTTGAAACAGGTGCGCCGAGTGCGACCTTATGATACATGATGCTTTCGTGTTCGTGTTCATGTTCGTGTTTGGCCCGCTCTTCTCGTACCTGAGCAGGTCGTACGATGGGTTGAGTTCGAACAAGATGCAGAAGTCAATCAGCTGCTGCTGCCTCTTGGGGTGGTGGGGGTTGCCCCCCCACACGGCCACCGCGCACTGCAGCATCTGCACCACCAGGTGCTCGTCAAGCTTCTTGCGCATGGCGGGGTCTTGATACAGCTCTAGAAAGGTCCGGATGAACACAGTCGGCTTGGCCGTGCACTGTGCGGCCAGCTGGATGGCGTTCTTGTCCCTCTTGCGCTCGCGGATGCTCTCCTGAAGCTGCAGCCGCTGCCGGATCCTCTTCTGCAACAGCTCATGGGGGATGTCGTCACGGACGTTGGCCGCCTTGAGATAGTCGCGCATCGACCTGCATTATACATGCAGACCGGCACAAGAGCGTTGTGTGAGAAGTCAATGGGCTAGTGTCTTGTTTCGCTTCTGCGCACCTTTCGTCTGCGGCCGTGAGCTCGTCCTTGTCGAGTGCCATGAATACCTCTCCTGGCCGGGAATCCACGACTGTTGCACAGTGTCCTTCGCGCGTGAGTCTTAAGCTACTGCGACGAAGTGTAAGAATAGGGGGGAGAGAGTCGGGGAGAATGGTGAAGAGAGGATCTGCCGGGCGGTCAGTCCCGGATAAAGGATTAAGTCAATGCAACGTAAGGTCTGTGG